TGGGTCTTGTATTTGAAAGTCTATTCACGTATTTCAATTTAATATCTCACTCCACAGTCTTTTCCCCTATATCATAAATAGATATCTACTACAGTATTCTAGTCTATGTAATAAGAAAATTGGTCAGCAATAGTACATCAATCAACACTTTAAGGAATTAATCTTAAATGTCTTAAGTAGTCTAAATAATTTATAAATAGTTTATATCAACAGAGTTTATCCCTTTTTACTATTAATACTTACAACAGTAATCTCTTAACTCTATAATAATAGTATACCCCCCTCTTTCCCCCCCCCCCAAATAAGTAGAATTATGTAAGCTATTTAGGAGATACAATAGGGAGGCAGGGGGCAGAACAATAAGAGAAAGGGTAGGAGAGAGATTACCACAGCTTCAGAGAATCAACAAACAAAAAGCAAGGAAGTCATCTTAAGGAGAAAGTAGTGCCAAACTAGTAATATTAAGTGTTACCACGTAATAAAGAAAGCAAGTTGGGTGGGTTAAAAGTCCATCTTTCAGCTAGAGGATTCTTTTCAGCCTTCCAATCAGCAAATGGTGTAATGTGCTGACTAATCTGCAGTCCCAAAACCGTCTTTCCCAGCCTTCTGTTTGTCTCTGCCTTCTTCCTCTTGCTTCTTCTTTCTTTGCTTTCCAACTTTTAAATCAACATACAAATCTTCCAAAGTCCAATATAATGCTCAGTTTGTCTTCTCCACAATATTAAATAGATGTGATAGTCGTGTTGTGCTCAAATCTGAGGATTCATCAGACTCGATCAATGCCAGTATTCTTTCACCTCCGTCGCCTCCCTTTTCTCAAGTAAAGTCAAAAAGAAAGGTCCAAAAATCAGGTGAAGCCCCTCACCAATTCCGGACCTCCGATCTCCTGGTTTTAGCAATCTCCCTCTTTCCCCAGAGCTTCCCATTCACAGGGTAAAATCTGCGCTTTCACTTTTGTGCTTAGGCTTTCCGCTCTCCATTATAGTCCTTTCATTTTCCCAACTGCTTTTCTGGCTGCTTTCCGCCCGACTTCTGAAAGGTGCTAATCACAACCAGGAGAGAAGAATTTACGCTGTCATTCTTCTGTCATTCTGCTATCTTCAGTCTTCAAAGGTTCCAAGTTATAAACCGTTTCTCTGTTTCTTTTACTCTCGACCTCGCAGGCTGTCACTGCTTTGCTTATTCACTCAAGTGGCAGACCGGACTTGAAGCCGCCATAGAATGACAGCTTACTCTTTTGCGCCAGGCTCGGGAGCTTCCCTCTTCGCTGTCGGGGGGTTGCCTTCCCCACTCTGCCGCTTGAGGTTCTCCACGTTGACACGAACCTCTCTGGGGTTCGTGTATCCCTGGGGGATCGCTCCTGGTGCCAGAAAAGGTGTTCAAAGACTGCAACAGTCTTCTTCACCTCCGTTCACCCTGTCCTGCCACCGGAAGCTCTGGACATAATGTTCCTTGCACATTTCTTTTTTCTTGTCCATCTACCAAATAAATGTGTGACATTTTTAACAAGGAATTTTGAGCTATCTAAAGATGTCTAAAGACAGAAATCTACTATATTACATTAACATCCGGAAGATGTTTAGACTGATTACAAGAATATGAAACATCTAAAGAAGTTTATTCTGCATCAGAATAAGTGGACACAATTTTTTCTTATTTGATTTTTGGATTTCTTATATCACAGGAATACATCACCAGCAGGCTGATGTATTATCATATTATCCAAAATTATCTGTGCCTTACAACCCTTCCTGGGCTTAACAATCTATGCCTTTAAAATTTTAGAGGACTGTTTCACCAGCTACACTCAGAGACCAGGAAGAGTATTTTTGCTTTAACAAATTAACAAAGCCTGCAATTAATTGGATGCTTTTGTCATCCTTTATTTAAGTTTCGGATAAATTTGACCATCCCATGGTTTGGTGAGCTGCTAAGACTAGTGCCATCTTGGAGAAATATCAATACAAACTAGGCCTCCCTTCCCACCCACCCCCAATACACACAAACACACAGAATATTGTATATCTGTTATGGAAGACAAATTGGATCTCTCTGTGTCTCCCTCCGCCCCCTCCCTCTCTGTCACACACACAAAATATATCTGTTATAGAATTTCTTATAAATGCTTTATGTATTCATCTAGTCATTATTCATCCTTTTGACTACCTGTGGATACACTCCCCCACTCCTTTCCCGCACTTCTAACCCATGCTTTTCCTGGAAGTTTCCCAACTGCTTCAAGAGCTTCAGGCAGCTCATTGCCATCTTCAGGAACAAGCCTTACTATACCAAGGTTTCCTACAGGTGTCTTTCTGATTGCTATAACCGGGAATCTTTTCCTGAATTCCATGAGAAATGGTGTTTTGCTTTCTACCAAGCATATCCTATCTATGAAGGCATAAAAACCTAGATATTAAATTTATTGAACCATTCCTTTTTGGCAAAAGTTAGTCTGGTATTTTTTTAATTGCACCTTCTTGGATGTATCAGTTTTCCATAATCCTTACTGCTTCAAGAATAAATTCTCTGGGCTTAGTACATCTTGACTATCCTTTCTATTTTGGCAGATAGGTAAAACTTTGAAATGGAACAGATTTTCAGTTCTCAATGCTGGAGAGACTTAATGGATTATTTAAAATATATTTGACTCTAAAATTCTTCTTGATAGGAATGTGGATATGTCAATACATAGCTGCTCTAAATATATAGAAACATAGAAAACTGACACCAGAAAAAGACCTAATGGCCCATCAAGTCTGCCCTTTTAGTTTTTAGTTTTCTTTTTAATTTATTATTTTTTAATTAATAAGGTTTCCCTTAAACTACTGGTAGTCCTTGACTTAACAACCATTCATTTACTGACCATTCAAAAATATAAAAGCACTGAAAAAAGTGTAATGACTGTTTTTCATGCTTTTGACCATTACAACATCCCGTGGTCATGTGTATCCAAATTTGGATGCTTGGCAACAGGGATGTAGCCAACTCAATATCACTCACATTGAGGCATGCATCTCCTTGCCTGGCTTCATGACTGTGTGGATGCTGCAACAGTCGTAAATGTGAAAAATGGTCATAAGTCACTTTTTACAGTGCCATTGTAACTTTGAATGGTCACTCCACACAAGCAAAGTATCAGCAAAGGAGGGGGAAAAAACTCCAGAGATGTTCCTGAGACAGGAAGTCTAGTCCTGCCAAGAATGTAATAAGGGTTAACGGAGAGGCAGTTTCTGTAAGCAACACCAGAATGTTTCCTTCCTGCCTTCCTTACAGGATTAGGCCAGTAATTTCTTATAACAACCGGTTCTCTGAACTGCTTAGAATGTTAGCAACCGGTTCTAGCGAACAGGTAGAATCCCACCTCTGCTTGGCAACTGGCATGTATTTATGATGGTTGGAGTATCCCAAAGTCATGTGATCATCTTTTGTGACCTTCTGACAAGCAAAGTCGGTGGGGAAGCCAGATTCACTTATCAATCATGTTACTAACAACTGTAGTGATTCACTTAACCACTGTGGCAAATAAAGTTGTAAAATGAGGCAAAAATCATTTTGCAAATCTCTTGCTTAGCAACAAAAATTTTGAGTTCAATTGTGGTCGTAAGTAGAAGACTACCTATATGGAAAAAATAGCAAGGGAAAAAAAAAACAAAATTGGTAGAGGAAAGAGTTGGAAATAACTTCACTTTTAGTATTATAGTAAAGATTGATTCCTAGCTATATTGAGTTGAATGAGTTTTAGAAAGTTCTTTTCTGTTTGAATCTTAACAGGGAAGCTTGAAAATGTCCATGCTTTCAGTCCTATAATCTTCTTTTGTAAATCAATTTCTGCTGTGAAGATAGATATGTATGCCTTGATTTTCCTAGAAATAAAAGAGCTGAGCTAGCAATTGTGACAGATGTTGAGGCAGACCGAGCCCATTAATTATATATAAACTACTGTGCAAACAGTTTATATATCCTTGTCTCATTTGAATTAATAATCATGGTTATTTAAATAGTATGATTTGGTAAAGATTTCCTAGACTAGGGATGTCAAACTCAACACTCATGTGCTGGATCCAGTCCACAGGGTGCTTAGATCTGGCCACAGGGCTGCCCTGGAAATAATGAAGGACTGGCCCGTGATGCCTCTGCCAGCAAAAACTGAGCTCAGGAAGGCAACGTGCGGCCCTCCCAAACTCCATTTTCGCTGCCACAGTGCTTGGGCCACCACAGGCACTGCCAGCATGAGTGATGTCAAGCTGGCAATGCCCACCCTGGCTATGCCCACCTGGCCCCCTGAGATGAAACACAACCCTGATGTGGCCCTCAATGAAATTGAATTTGACGCTCCTGTCCTAGATTGTTCTAAAAGTAAAATACAGAAACAAATTACTGGGTTTGGATATATTTAGTCTGAGTAAATCTGGGCTTAGTAATAATTCAGGGCAGTTTATACAATTATTTATTTAATAAAAGTTTGTGATTTCTTCCCCTTTATATTTAACAAAATTACTTGAATATTGGAAGTTTTTGGATTATAGTGGATTTTTCTTTCTTTTTTACTGTCATTATTATTTAAATGGATTATTTTGTAAGCTTATTTTCCAGTATGGTTTAATTTTGTGCTATGTGCCACTACTTATTATTTTTATTAACTTTATATCTTCTATACGGTACAATATTTTGAACTGAAATAATTGGACATTATTACAAGCACTATTCTTCTTTAAGTTAGAATGAGAAGTTTAGTTCCTTACAGTTTATGTTATAAAATGCTAAATTCTAATTCTTGATTGTAAAATTAATACTAACATTGTGTCTCTTGAATAAACAGTGAACTTAGCTTTTAGGTGAAATCATATTTTTAGATGAACAGATAGATTATATGTTGCCACCTTATTAGTAAAAATAAATGTTTTCTGTGAAACAGGGAGTGAAATTCCCTTCTCTTCTTTGTGGTTGTTAGGAACTTTTTGTAGCGTTTATTTTGAACACTTATTTTTTGTGTTTTTCAGCATATTCTGGATTTTCAACCAACACTAAATACAACCCATCTCAGATTAAAGCAGAAATAGCTAGTCGACGTGATAGAGTGAGTAACATTTTTTATAAATATTGTATATTAAATGTAATCATTTAAATTCATATTTTACCACAATAGAAGGACTGGTTAGGAAGAATTGGTGTAATATTTGCATAAATATTTAAAGTCCTTTTTGTCCAGAAAGTACATAACAGATTCTGGTAGTAATTAAGCCATTATATTGCATCACTTTCTTATTTGTGGTAACATTTTGAGAACAATTGCAATTTAGGATGCAGGGATTAATTTAGGAAAGTATGACTTTTGTAATACTACTAATATTTTAATTATTTTTATATTTTATACTCTAACTTAGTGTAATTACCATAGTAGTTGTAAATTTTATACTTTTAGATTATCCAAAGGTGGTCTGTGACAAAGAAGGTATTATTTATTAATGTGACATAAAAATAACTGAATATCACAATGCAATATGGGTTTTCAAGGTAGTGCTCATACATAGTTTGAAACTAAATAACAAACTTTGTTGTATAATGCTAATAGGTTTTTCTGTCTAATTAGCTAATTGCAATAAACTACAGAAAGCTCATACTGTAATCTCAGACTCAACAACCCTATATTAAGAAACTAAACTGATAATCAGCTGAACTATAAATTGCAATTATTTGTTTGTTATCAGCACAATTGTTTCTTCATGGTTTTATCTCAAGCTTTCTAGATTAAAGAGAGAATTAACACAAATGAAGCAAGAGTTACAGTACAAAGAAAAAGGAGTCGAAACACTACAAGAGTAAGTTGAAATGTAAAAGGACAGGGCTGTTGTTCATGTTAATGTTTATAATGTAGGCAACAAAAAGATGTTAAAATAATGATATACATTTTATATCTTATTTTGTTTTTAGCTTTAGTGGTATGAACAGTTTTTTAAAAACCTATAATTTTTACCTAAGAAATAACGTTCCTGGTGCTACTGAAGTAGTGTTTGCATAGAACAATTTCTTCCTTCTCATGACATCTGTGCATTGTATACTTTGGCCATTCTGCAGAACAGTAGCTGGCATAGATCCTTTTACTCTTCCATCTGTTCTTTCCCTCTCTATCTGTATCTATCGATAGAAGGGTTGGAAGGATAGTACTTCACCTAATTTAATATAAATGGCAAGGTGGAAAAAGCTTTTAACACTTGCCACCTCCACTACTACTTGTGACCATACAGCTGAAAAAAGGAAAACATTCTTAACATTCAAGATTTATTCAGATTCAGATATTACCAAAAGTGGGTAAACTTTCCTGTGTATGTTTGTGTATTAGGATTGATCGGAAGATGTCTAATTCTCATATGAATTATAAATTGGATGAAGCCCAAGCAATAATGAATGAACTTCGAAGCATCAGGAAAGCCATATGTTTGGGTGAAAAAGAACGGCAAGACTTAATGCAAGTAAGAAGTAAACAATAATGTTTATGGTTTTATAATGTCTAACTCTTATAATTCTTAGGGATGTCCTTTTTCTTAACCAACAATAGAATTTTTTTAGTGATTAGCATATTTTTGAAGCATGAAAATATGTAAGTTTATGTAAGTTTCATATTTTGTTGTATGACACCCAGAGACACCTGCCGCTACAAAAATTAGATAGAAATATAAACCTTTTTTAAAAATTCTTAATAATATTTTATGTTTTTATCTTATTCAGGATTTGTCTTGGCTATAAGTGTAAATTATCACCTCATATTTAAAATAGCTAACTATATGCAACCCTGAGACCAGTGAAGCCATCACCATTATAGCAAAAGCAAAGATATTTTGCAGACCAGTTTCTTCTTTAACTCATTTGGAAGGCAGTCAAATAATTTACCAATATCAAATGGTAGAACTGGATTGAAATGAAGTAGTTATGAGATATGGCCTATAAATCCTTCTTTGAAGATAAGTTGACCTCATGATTATGAATATGTGTGTGTGTGTGTATGTATACGTATATGTATGTACACATATATATTTGTTTTCGTAGATTTTCACAGTTACAGGTATGTAGGTCTAGGTGTGTTCGGGTCTTTTCCCGTGTAAGATTAAGAGTATCTTGGCAACATTTTGGCGAGGTCCCACTTGCCATCCTCAGGCTGGTGCTTTCGGCTTCGTGCTTTCGGCTTTCAACACTGCTTGCGCTAGCACGAAGCCGAAAGCACCAGCCTGAGGATGGCGAGTGGGGCCTCGCTGAAACGTCGCCAAGATACTCTTAATCTTACACGGGAAAAGACCCGAACACACCTAGACCTACACACACACACACACACACACACACACACACAGAGAGAGAGAGAGAGAGAGAGAGAGAGATGTTTGTGTGTATGTTCCAGAATAACTCTGGAACGCCTCAAGCAATTTCAACCAAACTTGGTTGAAGATGACTTACCCTCTGGAAACAAATACTGTGGGGATAAGACACCCCTAACATCCCTCGGGGGGGGGGTGCCTTAAAATGGCTCCTATTGTACAGCACAGTGGACTTGCCATGGTAACGACTTCACAGTACTCCACAAGAGGGCTCCCTCTTGTGGAGGAATAGAAGAATTGCAATGCATGAGAGACAGTACAACGGCGTGCATTTATTGGTTCAAAACTACAGGATTTTCCTGTCTAATACAGGATTGGGATAAATAAATACCCAGGCAACGCCAGGTTATTGGCTATTTGTAAGATAAATGCTGAAAACAATCTAACTTTGAAAGTGACCTATTTTTCTTTAAGTTAAAGAGTCACATTCATGTATCCGTATAGGTAGATCATTAACATTTCAGTCATCATCCATTACTGTACTGTTATTTTTATTATTTTTTACCTGCCATGACTATATCATGTGTACTGGCATTTTAAAGTATAAGAGCAAAATACTCATTGTTAAATAAGGTTTAGAATTATGAGTATTTTAAAATGTCAGTTTTTACAAATGAAAAATAAGAAGAAATTAAGAAGTTAAAAGAAGTAAAGAAATACTGCTTTAATAATGGTCTTAGAAGAGATAGACAGCATTCATTATAACTAAAACCCTACCTTTAGTGGTAGTTATTTCAGGCTATTTTGCTGAAAAGTATAAAATGGGAGAGAAGTGTCAGTCACATCTATAATTATAGTATGGTAGTTAAAATGATCTAAATGATGCAAAAATGCTGTTGTTTTACTAGTAGAGTTCAGGTTTTCTTTTGTAATGAGAAGAACTTAGAAGTTGTCTATGCTTGCATATTTATATTTCCTATTTCTTAGTCACCCATCTCCCTTATATCTTTGTGCTGTATACAAAAGTTAACCACCAAATTTCAATAGATGGATATCCTAAACTGAAGTATAAAGTCTTATATTTTATAGAGCCATGTACCACTTAATCTAATAAGAGTATTAGTAAAGTGAATGATAATGTATTTGTTACTTCTTTTTGCTTGTTTGGTGTAAAAAATGAAAGGCAATAACCATAAAAATATTTGTAACAATTGATAAATCATATCTTTTATATATAGTTGATGAAGTTGAGAAAAATTACTAACACAGTAATTTTATTTTTAAAAAATCAAAATAACATTTCAATATAGATGTTGTTAGAGCTATAATAGAAAAGGGATATTACAAGCTTTCAAGAAAGAGCAGTTCAAGAAAGAACTGTTTTGTTTTCTTTGTTGGTTCAAATTCTTTGCAGTATGAATCATCTGTCTTAAACATGGCAAATAAGAGTGACAGTCAGCGTTCCTATAATACAAGAATGTTTAAGTAGGAAAGCAAAACTCCTACACAAGAATATTTTTAAAATGTTTTTTTCCTCTGATGTCTATAATGTGCATACCACAGAATTTTAAACCTTGTAGCACATCTCCAAATTCTAAGTTTGCCTCACTTTAATTCTTATAAATTTGAGAACTGTTCCTTTTTCATCTTCAAGTTTATTTTCCCCTCACTCCTCTTCATTGGTACAAATAGTCCTCAAATTACAACCATTTGTTTAGTGACTATTTGAAGTTATAATAGCACTGAAGAAGGTGTCTTACAATTGTTTTTCACATCTATATCTATTGCAGTTTCCCCATAGTCATGTGATCAAAATTCGGACACCTGGCATGTATTTATGACAGTTGCACTGTCTGGAGATCATGTGATCACTCTTTGCAACCTTCCCAGCCAACCTCCAACAACCAAAATAAATGGGGGAAGCCAGATTCACTTAATGACTGAGTGGTTTACTTGACAACTGCAGTGATTTGCTTAACTGTGGCAAAAAGGTCATGAAATGAAACAAAACTCACTTAACAACTGCCTTGCTTAGCAACAGAAATTTAGAGCCCAATTATAGTCATATGTCATTGCATTCTGTGTAGCGTTGAAGTTCATTTGTTCATTTTTTAATTGTATGTATTTTGATTTTTTTTAAAAAGTTTTTTTTATTTTTAAACATACATCAATATCATTTTGTGGACAGTGTAGGATCTGAGTTTCATTCATTTTGACGCAAAAGTAATATTAATACAAGTAGAAGTTACCATATCAATCTTACTTACATGATCTAGTGTTATACATATCAATATCAGCACATAATCTTTCATTTTTAAATTATTCAATATTTGCTCCATCCTTCTAATAGTAATGGTATTTTCTATCTCATTTTCTAAGCTTACAGTTTTCTCCCTTGTTTTCTGGATTTTATTCTCTTGCTTCATTATTCTTTGTTGCACAGTTTCAGTCTTTCCAGTTATATCATGCAATAAGTCTTTTATCTCTCTGAAATTCCCCATCATATTGTCATGAATGCTTTGGAGTAGCATAATAATTTTTTGTGTGTCTCCAGTTTCTTCCTGATGAGCCATTTTGCCTTATTTTGAAGAGTCCAAGTAGTATTCAATGTTCTGTCAGTAATCTGTCACCGCTCCGGAGTCTATTCTTTTTGACTTCCCAAAGCCAGCAGATTACTTAATCTTAATGTTATTCATCAGGAGATACAATAGTTATAGTTCTTTATATCCCACAATTAGTCAATAGGTTCCATTTATACAATCCAGGGAGTTTTCCAAATGACTCTTTAAATCCACTTTTTAATTTGCTAGTTAGTTCCAATATTCAAGAGTCATTTCATTAGATATCCTTCAGGTTTTCAAGGTTAGTCATCTAGTCACCATAAAGTAGATAAGTATAGAGCAGTAAATAATATAGCAGACCTCCAGGTGTTATTCTTCTCATCAAAGTTTTCCCAGGCTGTTATCCTGCTTGGAATATGACATAGTATATATTCATGCTCCAATAGATGGTGCCTTCAGCTTAGAAGTCAACATTAAAAATCCATGTTCAAAGATCAACATTAAAAATCCAGTTTAAAACTATTCTGCCAATTATTTCTTTCAAGAATTCTAACAAAATATCCAATAAACAGTCAGATGTCTAGCACTTGAAAATGCCTGTTCAGAGTCCTGTCAGTAAAGTTTATACATCCAGTCTTCTGTATTCTATAGCTTTAGGGTGCAGTTTATCTCTGTCACTCTTTGAGTGCCGCTTAAAGGTATTCCAAAGAGTATCTTTTCCCAGATTAATATTCTTTTAGGGAAATACTTAGCAAAAGTTGAAAATCACCTTACCCAGCTCCAATCACTGTCCACTTTCACCGCTCCAGCACAGTCTTGATTTCTTTGGCTGCCCCAGCTTCACAGCGCCATTTTGGCTGCCTCATCTTCATCCTCGGCAAAGAGGGAAAGAACCCTGGGTCCAGCAGGAGAGCTGCCACTCTCTGCAACCAGCAGTGTACCCCTCATATGTCACCCCTACAGAGTGATTTTAGCCCCTTGGGGGGCCTTCCGATGGAGAGGATTCAACGTGGGGATGCTGAGCCCTTCTCCCCTGCGCCGATCATGCAGAGATGTTTAATTTTTAATTTTCATTAAAATGACTTAGTGTTCTAGACAGGTAATCATTGCTAACAGATTTTAAAATGCAGTTAAAACATACTAAATACTAAAATACTAATACTAAAAAATTCCCATAGGAGAATAGTATCCATCCAAATCAATATAAATTCAGTTTATAAACCATTTTCATGAACTGAAAATAAAAAGAGACAAATTTTCTAGTGTTAAGTTATAAATTAATCTTCTTTCAGTTTGGTTTTGGAGGAATAATCTGATTAAAACCAAAGATCTCAATATAAAGATGCAAGCATTGAAGTTTGTGCTATAAGAAAGCACAAATATCTTTTCCTTAAAAGATATTCTTTGCTAAGAAATCTGTAGAACACAGTTGCTTACCATCTGGCTATCCCTGTTGGATGGTAGTTGCCTCAAATTAAGAAATAAAAGTAATCTTTATAGAGGGTTTAGTACAAGGGTCTTCAAACTTGGTAAGTTTAAGACTTGTGAACTTCAATTCCCAGAATTTGTGAGCTAACATGACTGGAGTTGGAATTCTGGGAGTTGAAGTCCACAAGTCTTAAAGCTGCCAAGTTTGAAGACCTCTGGTTTAGCATATTATTTTTACTGCACATTATTATTATTATTTCAGATCTGTCAATGACTAGTTTTATATTTATAGTCTTGGGAGCTATTTTAAAATGTTTGTATTTTATTTAAAAATTCTTTAAACTTTCTTCTTTGTAAAGGTCGTATTCTCTATTATTTCCATAATTAAGAAAATTTTTGTGAACAATATTATTTTGGTTTTTTTTTTAAAAAAACTATTAAACCATGAGAAAGTTCTTTCATATAATTGTGTTCTTAATGTTCCTTTTTTTTCAAGAGTCTGGCCAAGCTGACAGATGGATTCAGAAATAGTTGTTGCATTACAGAATCTTTTCATGATCTTCAGCACAGTTCTGGTTCATTCAATGATTCCAATCTATCTCAAATATATTGTGACGCTTGTTCTCAAACTGACGTCATTGGCGAGGTATACTATATAAATTTAATGTACTACACTATGTTTTCAGAGAAAAAGTTGTCATTATTCTTAAAAATGTGGCTAGCGTTCTATTACACTAAAATAGAATTTAATCAAATCAAAACTGTCTCATATGCTTTGGTGCAAACAAGAAAAAATATGTTGTATACTCTTGAACCAAAAGGTAATTTAGATATCTTAGGGATTCATGCCCAGCTTACTCTGTCAATGTTTCTCTATTTCAATCATACTGAATTACCTTTTTTAAAAAAATCTATAAAATAAGATTACAGAGCAGGTTTATCACATATACATTCTTAAATATAATAATCAAATGATCAGTAATTTATTTCGAAGTAAATGAGGTAAAGTTAATAGTGGTTAAACACACACACACACACACACACAGAGAGAGAGAGTTATGTGTTTCTACTATCTGTTCAACATTTGCCCCCCTTGAATAATTTTATATAATATTTATATTTTATAATATATTTATATAAATAATTTCTAGGTATACAATTTGTTAAATCTGCAATAATTGTACAATATAAAATATTACAGTATTCTAATAAATCAAGGGCACAAAGGCATTAATTAAGAAGGAAGTACAAAAATTAAAGTGCTTAGTCATTCAGGTTTCCTTAATAGTAGTGTTGAGGAAGTCAAACAACTTCCACATCTTGAGATACAAAACCACAGAAGTGAGGAAGAAACTCTTTCTTGCAGAATTTTCTCCTTAAAGGGCATGCATACAGAAACCATTTATTTGTTGGTTTGATTGAATATTTTCTTATGTTGAAATCATTGAGAAAGTTGTTTTCTTCAGATTTCAAAACAAATTGGATTCTACTGGCTCAACAACATTTTCTCCTTGTTACTAGTACTGGAGTTCTGAGAATGAACCCAGTTCTGAAGGTTTCAGGGAGCTTATAGGGATTCTGTAATGGAATTACGCTTCCTAGGTTGGATCTCTGGATGTCTAGTACTTTAGGTGGCCTTTAAATCCACTACAGAGATAATAGATCATGGATAAATCTTTCAGGGACTTGAAATTAAGTGATTGTTTAACCTGCCGAAGAGGTTTGAATTTGCCTTGATTATTAAATGTCCATGGAGAGGGGAGATTTCTCTAAAAATAGAGATACCCATTTGGTATGGTAGTAACTATCCTGAAGTTATATTTTGTATTGACAAAGTGAATATCACACACACACATACACATGAGGCACCAGACTATAAGATGCACCTTGGTTTAGAGGAGGAAAACAAGAAAAAAAATAGTTTTTTTGCCTCCGTGTGTCCCGTTTTTGCCCTCCCTGGCGTCCAGAAGCAGTCTGCAGGCCAAAAATGCACCCATTTTTGGAGGCCTCCAGAAGTCCCGGGGAGGCCAAAAACGTGACCCCTGGAGGCCACAAACGGGTGCATTTTTGGCCTGCAGACTGCTTCTGGACTCGGGGTGGGGGACAGGATCCTCAGAGGCTTTGGGAGGGCAAAAATGGGCCCGTATTCACTGTATAAGATGCACAGATATTTCCACCCACTTTTGGGGAGGGAAAAGTGCATCTTATACTCTGAAAAATATGATATATAAAGACAGGCAGGGCTTCAGTTGCACACTCAAAGCCTCTATCTTGACTGTTTGGAACTTGCCCTATGCAGATACTCCTATGTACTAATCAGGAGTTGTTCTTTCATAGTGTTTTAAAGTCATAACCTGTGATGACCCATAGTCTCTCAAAATAACCCAAAACATACATTAAAGTCCGGTAAGGCCTTCAACTTAACTTCAGTGTTTTATTAGGCACAGTTTAAAGTCACAAAAGTAAATAATGAGGCAAAAAGAAAACCAAAACAAACCTCATTGACGAGAGTTCCGAAGCAAGCCAAGATGACTAATCATACATTCCAGGAAAATAACCGAGGAGAGTCCATGGGAAGAATGCCAGCAAAGATAAACCTCTTTTCAAAGTAAACACTAAACTTTGACTCCAGCAATTCTGACTGCTCAGTTACAAACTTATATACATAGCTCCCAGCTGCAAGCCACGAGGGGGATCATGGTAATCTCCTCCTGAGTAGACCTCGCTTTTTCCTGATCCTCTCCTCCCTGCATGACCTAGGATGGATAGGAGATGGGCCTGGATCCTCCTCTGATTGCTCAGCCAGCCTCTGCCCATCCCCAGCCTCCTCCACCACCTCTGGAGCCACACTTCCACTCCTTGTTGGCTATTCCTCCTCTTCCTCAGAGTCAGTCTCCACCAGGGGCATGACATAACCTATTATGAATCATAAAAGGCCATTGAGCTAATCCCTTCCTCCAAGTGCAGAAATTCAAATAATAACATCCAAATCAGGTAGGTATTCAGATATCATTTGAATAGACTGAATGAAGAGAACCTTCTTTGGGTACTAAAACTCTTTTCTGAGTAATTAGTGTCATTGTCAAACTGTACAAATTGTACTGTTAGAAATTTTCTTACCTCTAACATTCAGTTATAATCTATATTTCTATAATTTATAATCTTTATTCTCTGATTTCTCAGGAATGAAATAGAACAGGTTTGACCTTTTCTGTGGCGTATTTTCATGTCTGAGGAGTGCTATCAGTCATCTTTTCTCAAGGCTAAATGTACCCAGTTATTTCAGTGTCTCTTTATAAGACTTAATTTCCTTGATTATTCTCATTGTTCTTAACAGAAACAATTTATCTGAATCCTTTTTAAAGGATTAGAAATAAATATAGTACTCAAAATGGGATTGTTCCCATGATTTGGACATTATATTTTTATGGATACAGTGTAAAATTGCTTTGGTTTGTTTTACTACTATATTACTTCATATTCATCTATTATTCATATTCATTTATTATTTCCAATTTCATTTCACAGGTTTCATTACAGTCCCATGTTTAAATATTTGATTTTTCTTCTGAGAGTGAAGTACTTCAGATTTTCCTTTATGAAAAATGATACTTTCAGCCTATTTCTACCATCTATTATTATTTTGAAGTTTATTTCTATGAAGTTAGCTATCCCGACCAGTTTTGTATCTGCAAATTTCTTGTCCTTATAGTCATTAACTATAATTAGAGGGTGCAGGACTGATCACTGGAATATCCCACCTGACCCTTTTCTTCAATTTTATGAAAAACCTTGATGAACATGCTCTACTTTAGAAAAGCGATGACAGCTATAGTATATATCATTAATTGTCATGCTATCTAGCCCATATTTAAATCCACTGCCAGTTAACATGGAATATTCTGTCAGTGCTTTCCTAAAGTCCAGAGGATATTTTATTTTACAGCATTCTCAAAAACTTAGTGATGTTATTGCAATCAAACACGACTCATCTGTCAAGAGTTGATAAGCTAATTTTGATTTCTGATAATTCCTATATTATTTTCATCATGCCCTTTTATTATCTGCTGTAGATTTTTTGTCAGCAACAGACTGATTGTCTAATGGAGAGTCAGCTATTTCCTTCAGTATTCAATTCATCTAACTTTTAAAAAGTAACCTCATTAAAATATGGTTCGAGAAGTATCAGTCTTCAATTCTGCCTCTTTATTTTCCAGTGGCACATGATACTTTTTGTAACTTTCAAGAATAAAGTATAAAAGAAAATGTCAGACCTGCCCCAGTCTGATCTCCTAGGAAAGTAAAACTCTTGACTCCATTTGGTTGAAGTAGAAATGCACTTTTACGAAATGCACTTTTATGATTGCAGTAGGGTCGGGTACAATTTAAAATTCCCATACATCAATACAGAACTAATCACTTGGTGTGTAGTCAATCCAGCACCACCCAGATGTTTAGGAAGCGCTTTGGTATTTGGGCTGGTGAAATTCTACTCTCAGGTTAAATGGCCTTGAAGATGCTAGCATGAACCAAATTCAAAAATGTTCTGTTCTTCCCCCCTCTCAATTTTCAATTATAAAAGTATACAGCTTTATTCCCCATTGGTTCCCTTCTCCAGTTGATGGCAGAACATCAGCGAGGTGCCAAACTGAAGGTGGTTGGTAGATCTGACAGAAAGGGAACCAAAGCAGAAATTGAGAAGCTCTTCTTTATTATATGCTGTCTTTATTGACCAGTTGGTACACTATTAAAATTATTAGTTTTCTTTTGATATTATTTGGACATTTCAAAAGAAACTCTTTATTGTTATTCTTAACGTCCTCTTCTAATAACAGTTCATTCTGATCTTTTACTTTTGTGACACTAGATCAACATGTGACAACAGATCAAGATGATTTATCTGTAGTCTTCCTTTGTAAGCCTGTCTTGTTTTATTTCCTTTGTTTCATTTTGTTTCATCCTTTTAAACCTTTATTGAATTGATTAGAGATCCAGATAGGCTCCTTTTTTTCTCTTTGAAATTATTTGCACTTGTGCTTCTATCTCCTTTTTAAGGGACTTCTACTCAATTTGAGTTCCTTTTCTTATTAGCTTCTCCTGTTCTGAGATCTTGTTAAGCGTTGTTCTGATTATCATTGATTGTTTGGGGGAAATTCAGACTAAATGTATGTGCTCAAGTTTAGTGTCTTTCAGAGTCAAGAATTTCAGCATCAAACAGACCCTTTCTTACAATGTATCTGCTAACTACCTATTTCTCAAATAAATCTTCCCTGCTGATTAATATAAAGTAATAACAGACATTTTTTTGTATTTTTCTGTAATTTATTTCTTCTTATGTTCTAATAAGTATTATTAACTTTCTTGTTTTTCTTTTCTTCACAAAAGCTTGGATTGGAAGATACAACAAGCTATATAGACAAAATGAAACTAATTTGGCAGTATGAAGAGACCAAAAAAAGGTGAATATCCTAAGTTGCTATTTTTAACATTGCAAATAATCTGTTAGTAGCTTTTGTCTTGGTTGGGATTTTGCATATATGTGACTAGATATTTAGCATAGTTTAACAATCTGAAGAACCACTAAGTAATTATCCAATACTGCAGCAATGTACATTTAAATTAGGCAAATTAAAAGTTATACAAGAAAGAAATACATAAAAGAAATTACATTCTAATTCCTTGGTTTGGCAAAACGTTTATGTTATAAAGAAATAATACTTAAATAAATAAATACGACATTAAAGTGATATGGATTGCTTTATATTTTAGCTATAACTTTTGAAGCAACAGGGTAACTTTTGAGATGAAATAAAAACCAGCTAACCAAGTTGTAATGAGGGAGTGTGAAAATCACATATTACAAACCCCAAAATATATGTGCTTGCAGTGAATCCTGGACATGGATAGACACAGAATAGGCACCAATTACATTTTGTTGAGAGGACATGATGGTTAGGTGGATAAAGACCCGAGCTTATCAGTGGAAATCTGACAGCTTGAGTTTGAGACTCAAGCACCATAAAAGAAGGGTGAGCTCCTGTTCCTGCCCCAGCCCACCTAGCAGTTTGAAAGCAGGCAAATGAGAGTAGATTAATACATACCATTTTGGTGGGAAGGTAACAGTGTTCTGTGTGCCTTTGTCATATAACCATGCTGGTGACATGACCACAGAAAATATGATTGGACAACACTTGGCCAATAAATGGAGATGAGCACCGCATCTAGAGTTGGACACTACTAGACAAGGAAACTTTTATTTTTACCTAATTTTGTTAGAAGATTACTCAGTCGGCCTGGTGAAGAAGAGTATTCAAATGCATTTATTAGACAGAATATTTTCATACCTCTAACCTAAGTAGATGTTGCTACATTCAGTTCATTTCTTTATAAATATATTGGTAACTTCATACCCATTTAATATTTATATGGGTAGTTTACATCACACATTCCAGAAGCATGTATCTAAAAAAATAATGTAAGTATCACTTACAGTTCCAGTTAACATTGAAGTGTCAAGTTGACAGAAAAATACATTCTCTGTTAAGTTTCCAAAGTTCTTCAGTTGGGAAAATGTAAAAAGAATAAAATATGAGTTATTTGAGGCATAAGTATGAAAAGTAAACCAAGATTTATGAGAAATTACTAGTAGTAAATGTTTGCATATTTTGTAAGCCTAGTGGTGTTTTTTCTGTTATAACACAATCATATATATATAGTGTATGTGTTCATGTGTACACTGCTTAGGAAAAATATTCCTAATTGTAATTCTATATTTGTCTCTTTCATTTGTTCACAAATTTTATTCTTACATATGTATAACATGGTTTTTAAACTTTAAATCAAAGAGCTAAGACACATTTATTTCTCCTAGATTATGTCAGTGATCACATTCTTTATTTATCATGCATTCCTTTCTGTTAGCTTATTGGCATTCTGTACAGCTTTTGTCTCCACAAAGTATTTCTGTGTTCAGACTAACTTTGCTCATGAAACCCTACTAAAGTAATACAGTGTGGATATGGAATGTGCTGTATTTGGTCTAAAACTGAAGTTGACAAAATTAAAGTGTTACAATATACTCAAAATATTTTAATCAGGCTCCTCATATAGTTAAAGTGGCAAGAGAACCAAGTACATATGTTACCATTTCAGTTGGTGGATTCTTATATAAAATATATTTTTGTCTGTGAGTACTTTCCACTGGAGAACCTTCTTAACATGGTTGTCTCAAAATATAAGAATGCTTTGTTATCCTTTTCAGAATGTAAATGGAATCTAAAAATTATACCTCATCTTAGTTAAAAAATAGAAATAAAATATGAGAGCTCTTTTTTTTTGTAGGTCATAATAATGCCAATGGTGAAATATCTAAGATACAAAAAACCCATACATTAAAAAGCTTTTGATTTGAAATGGGATAAATACTACAAATAACTGTTGTTATTGCTTCCTTTACAGAAAATTAAATACAAACAAACAGATATATTCTAGTAGGCCATTTGTGATACAGAATTTCCATTTTAAATGGTAGAAGAACTGGCACTATTTAATGCTTAGCAAAAAACATTGTGAGAGCAGATTTCTTTCCCATAGCATGCTTGCACATTATTACCATTATGTTCAGAAACTCTCCTTCCCATTATTCCTGCTACTGCCTTGATCCAACCATAACATCAACATTTTAAATTCCAATTTAAGTTTGTACCGTGGCAAACTCTTTGGAGTTAAAAAAACAAAACAGAAGTAGAAGTTGACAATAAGGATTCCAGAGATAGTGATATTGATGTGTTTAAGAAGACATCAAATTCCGAAGATACACCTTTTAACTATATTAAAAGTTTATGCAATTCAAATTTATTATGGATTTTATAACTGTTTGTTATGTTATATATAGATGTTATTTTAATCTCACAGTATTTCAACTAAATACTTCCATATCAAAAAAATGTATCTTTGTATAGATTTGGAGGGGAGATGTTTCTTGTTGATATATTAACTTTTCATATTCCTTTGTAATTAAGAGTTTTCAGAATCCAGCAACAGTTGGCTTTACAAGACCAGGAATCTTGGCCAGGAATGGCAGAGGCTGATATTGATCATCTTCAGCTTATTAAAGAAAAAGAGGCTCTCTTACAAGAACTGCAGCTTATAAGTCAACAGCAGCGTTCACCAGAAGATCTGAAACACATAGAGGAGGAAAAAAGGCGCTTGGAGGAGGATATCCAGCAGGCTCAGGCTACTTCTTCTCATGGTGCTGCTGAAAGGTTGAGAATGTAGCATACTTGTTAATGCTAGTATAGCTGTTTAATAAAGGCAATAATAACAGTTAGCAGACATCAACCATACAGAAATTTATGGACTTCTAATTGGTTGCAGGCCTGGGTATGAGTTACTGATTGCACTTGTGGTTGACCTTTGGAGAGAGTGGGAGGTAGTAATCCATCCATCTTTATTCTCCCTGATTTCTCAGTGGTCTTAAGAACCATGGTATCCTTTTGAAGCTGCTCCAGGAATTAACGGTTGAGAGTACATTGTTATGCTGATTCTCATTCTTCCAAAAACAGAATAATTTCCAATCTGTATTAATTGGGAAAGGGGAGGGGGGCAGGAGAGAACTTGCCCTATGACTCTGTTACGCAGAATGCTTCAGTAATGACTTTTTCCACATTCCTGTTTAACTTGTACATGAAACCACTGGCTGAAGTCATTCAGTAACAGAGAGTAAAATATTATCAATATCCTGATGATACTCTAGCAATCACATATGGCCAAATGAGGCTGTCTGAATGCATGGAGGCAGTGGAATCGTGATACAAAATAACAGGTTTAATATCAACCCTAGTAAGACCAAGTGGGTTTGGGTTTTAAGATTTCCTGGATCTGGTGATTTTCCATCCTTAGTTCTGGGTGGGGTTGTGCTACTGCCAGGGTGACACAACAGCAGGTGTCAGCCTTTGCACAACTTTGTATTGTGTACTAATAGTTCTGCTAAATAAAAAAGCAAGAATTTATACCTTTGTCACCCTGTATTTTTAGGTGACAACTTAAAAACTAAATACCCAGAAAATAAAAATGGAAAATAATCCTTTCATTTTCTTGATGTCATCATTTTATTGTCCTGCTTGCCCCAAACCTATACTAGAGAGATATTTGGTGCAATCCTTGCTCTACTCTCTTGTACTTTCTTGTGATGTAGTATACTTCAGTTGTAGTACATAATAATCACTTTTTAGTCCAAATGTATTTCACCAGTGCAGTGTATTGGCAGTGCAATATTAACACCTGGGCTATTCCAATCATTAGATACACAGTTGAATTAGAAGTCCTGGATAGGAAGACTAGAGAAACAATGACAGTGAATCATATCCTTCACCCATATAGCAATGTTGACAGACTCTATTTGGCAAAGATCATACGTGGGCATGGAATTTTGCAACTACATCAGATACTTAAAGAAGAAGAAAAAAAGGCATTGGAAGAATATCTAAAGGACAGCGAAGACATTGCACTAAAAGCTAGTATGCTATGAAAGCTTACTGAGTACTGGAGACAATCATACTGGCTTACAAGAAAGACCAAATAAAAATAGAAGGGAGACATGGCAATGAAAGTTAAAGAGGCAGAGGGGCGTGGACCATCTAGTTTTAGCTGTTGCAAGAAGAATGCACAAGACTGTGCAAACAACAGTATGACAAAGTAACAACGATGGCACATTGGAATATCTGTGCAAAATACCACTTCCCTGCAGACAAAAACTAGTGGGACCACAAAAGAGAGAAAGTAATAAAAAATGTACAAGCTAAAGTCTCTGGGACTTCAGGTTTCACACAGACAAGTATCTGCCACACAATTACCAGTCTTAACAATTGTCAGTAAAAAGACAAAAGAATCTGGTAATGGACATTGCAGTACCTGGAAACACCAGAAGAGAAGAGAAAAACCAGGAGAAAATCACAAAATACAAATACTTGCAATTAGAAATAGACTGATTGTTGGAAAAGGAAGCAAAGACAGTACAGTAACCCCAAAACATCTGGAGCACCACTTGAACACTGCCAGCATTGAAAAAATTGCCATCGGTCAGTTGCAAAAGGTAGTTTTATAAACAGCTTACATTCTGCAATGATGACTTTAACACCATCAACACTATAACAACAACAATAATGGCAGCAACCCTTATCAACCATTAGCACCAGTCAATGGTATTTATGATGCATGGGGAGAACATTGGTGAAGTCAACATCAGATGAGGAATCTTCCAAGGGGACTCACTTTCGCCAATACTGTTCAACATCACATTAATCCCACTGATAATAATCCTACAAAACACAAAACTTGGGCTACCAAATCTCAAGCCAACATGGCAAGATAAGCCATCTACTATACATGGATGACTTAAAACTGTATGCGAATAGCCCCACTGAACTTGAATCAATACTCAGCACAGTTCAAATGTTCAGCAACTATATCAGAATGAAGTCTGGACTTGAAAAATGTGCTATACTATCCATGCAGCGAGGAAAAATAGAAGGAATAGAACTGGGAAATGGGAGCATCGTGAAAGCAAAGGATGACGATTACAAATACCTAGGCATATTGGAAGCAGATAATATCTTGAATGGAAAAGTCAAAAGAGTCAGTGCAAAAGGAATATATCAGGAGCGTCTGCAAAATATTAAAATCAAAGCTGAATGCTGAAAACACAATTAAAGCCATTAATACATGGGCAGTTCCAGTGATACGCTACCCAGCTGGAATCATCAACTGGAATGTGGCTGAACTGGAAAACCTGGACTGGAAAAAGCATAAACCTTTGAAAATTTACCATGCTTTACATCCACGAAGTGACATCAACAGGTTATACCTGCCAAGAAGAATAGGGAGCAGAGGGCTATTGCAAATCCATCAAACTGTAGAAGAAGAAAAACGAAATTTGAATGATTATGTGAACCAAAGTACAGAAAAATGGCTACAGGCTGTAAAAATGGAGAACATTATAAAAACAACAAAAACAAAGGCAGAATATAAGGAAAGACAGCTGGATGACAGATTAAATGGATGGAAAAACCAAAGCTTTGCATGGACAGCATTTGAAAAATATTGAACAAAAATGTGGTAACAACTTGACATGGCTTAAGAGAGGACTGGGCATCAAGAAAGAAATGGAAGGTTTAATACTTGCTGCTCAAGAACAAGCACTACAAACTAATTCCATGAAAGCGAAGATACAAAAATCCACTGACAATTCAAACTCTGACTTTGCAATGACAAAGTTTCACGTGAGTGCAGCAAAATCGCACAAACTGACTACAAACCTGGATATGATAGAGTTGTTAAATTAATCCATTGGTCATTATGTAAAAAAATACACCCTACCTGTATCTGAAAGATCATGAGAACATAAAGTGGAAACGGTTGTAGAGAATGAGACGTTGAAGATCTTGTGGGACTTTTGAATACAGACAGATTGCCATTTGGTACACAACATGTCAGATATTGCAGTTGTCGAGAAAAAGAATGAGGAAAAAAATCATGAAATATTGTGACCTGGCCATCAAAACTACATGGTTATGGATGAAACATGTAACAGTGATATCCATTGTCATCAGGGCACTTGGTACCATGTCCAAGAATTTTACAAAACACATCAAGAAATTACAGCTTCCTGCAATAACTGCAATGGAACTGCAAAAAACTGTGCTACTCAGAACATCGTATATTTTAAGAAGATATTTGGTTGATACCTAGGCCACTGGCAGCAACCTGTATCAATCATTAGCACCAGTCACTGGTATTTATTATACATTTTTAAATGTTCAGTTGACTGAGTTTCATGTTTAGTGAATAAAAGAGATGATAATAATAATAATAGATGTCTGCACATGGAGTATGTAAACATTGAAAATTAGAACACTGTCTACAAAAGCCTATGTCGGTTCTCTGCCATAAGTTTTCTACATAAGAGGTACATTATATAAAAATTATACTAAGGAAACAATTTGCTTTATTTTAGGATACTCTTACAAGAGAAGAAGAACTGTTTGCTTATGCAGTTGGAAGAAGCAACTCGTTTAAGTTCCTATTTATGCTCACAATTGAAAAGGTTAGTATATTAGAGAGATTGACTAGCATGTTAGAAGGAAATAATAAGGATCAACCAATATAATTAATTTCTCATTGTTTCTAAAAATACTTTGGTTTAAACCCCAGCAGGATAGAATGTAGAATTATCCATTGTGTCATATTGTCCTTTATCTTCCTAATCTTAACTTGTTGGCCCTCCTGAGTTTCAGTGGAAATAAAATACTTTTTTTTAAATAAAAGTTTTATTTAAGTTTTCACAAAACATATAAATACAAATAAAATATCTTTTTTTGAGAACAGCGTGACCCTGGGTTATCACTTCTCCATACAGACATAAACTCAATACATATTTATCTTAAACATTCTAATCCATATCTTATAACTATTTTCGCAATTTTTTCAATAGCTTGTCCCTTTCTTTACTTCCTATAGCCTTATTTTAAATTATCTTATTCCTTAATTCAATTACATATCTTTTTCTAATTTTTAAAATCAATGTTTTTATACTTTCGTCTGTCCTGTTTACAATTTCATATTATCTTTTCTCATAAAACAAATTTTCCCCTGTAATTACTAGACTGGAGTGTAACACCTTTGTATCTTTTTTCAAATCTTGTTTAAAAATTTAAGTTACACCTTTACAGTTATAACATTCATTTTTTAACCTCTATTTTATAACACATACCTATTTTCAATTGAATTCTGCTTGGTATATTCCCTTAAAAATATACACTAAATTCTTAAAAGAAAAAAGTATATATGTATATATATCCGCGTATATATGTATAACAATAGTAAATGGGATAATTATTCTATTCAAGTACAGCTCTGCCATTAATATTAATAATAATCTTTTACATTTCTATTTCTTTTAACAAACATTACCTAGTAATATCAGTTGTCTTTCACTTTAATCATCTATATTTCATATTTTACTTATTACTGTCTTTAAATAAAAAACAAAAACAATAGTTATTAACAGAAATCAATAAAATTATTATTCTTATTCAAATTCATCTTGTCAACTGATAAAAATCTTCCTTTTTTTCAGTTTTTTTTAACTTTCTTTTTAAATCATTGAGAGCCTTATTTTCTTTACAAACAAATATTCCATTACACATCAATACAAATTTTTTCTCTCACTTTAATCATCTAAACATATTTTCTAACCCTTTTCTATTTCTAATATAACAATGCTATCCCATGCACCCTTGCAGAATCCTCTCAAGTTAAATTTTAACCATTGTCTCTGTCTTTTAAATAGGTTTATACCTTTAATTCTTGTACGCTTTTCCTGTACTTTTATATCTTGTTTCTATCCCTTGTAGCTTCTTTTCTTTTCCCTCTTCCCTCTCTTCCTCTCCCTCCCCTTTTTATTCCCTTTTCTATCTGATTCCCCTTTCTGTGATCCTCCCTTCTGCTTCTTCCTGATATGATTGCTTTTCAAATTACTCTTTTTTTTGGTTGTTGCTTCAGTGCTTAAGTTTTTAACTCCCTTTCCCCCCTTTCCTTTTTTTACCCCACTTAAAGTTGCTTAGTCATTAAAGATGGCTTCTTCTTTATCCCACCCTTCTTGTTCTGCCAGCATTTCTTGTTATTTTTCATAGTTCAATATCTCCATTTCTAAAAATTGAATTATGAAGCTAAAAGATCTCTTCCCTCTTGTACTTCTTTTTGTTCTTTAAGTCTCATTTTTAACTCTTCAAGAAGTGATGCCATTTTAAAAAAATTTAAACAACCCCCAATTGATTTTATTTTGTTTCATTAGGATCCACCATCCAAAATTCCAGGAATCATCCAATAATCCAAAACTGTTTCTTGCTTCTTTTCTCACTTTCTCTTTCCAGAGGCTTTGTTATCTTGTAACGAAGTTTCAGCTATAATGTATCTTTTGCAAGCCTTGTTAAAATTCCACTATCAATTTTTTTAAGTTCCAGGTAGTCTCCTCCATTTTCCAGATTCCACCCTCTTGTTTCCTTTTTCCCTCCTCTGCTTTCTTTCTTTTTTAAAGAAAATTTTTAAATTATCCAAGAATCTTTATCTCTTTGACACTTTATTTTCAGCTAGAAATAGCCTATTAATGTCAAAGTGGATTAGTATCAATTTCTTGTTCGAATCTTCTTCTTAACGTTCCAAGTCAATTTAAACTGTCAGTATGAGAGGAAAAAAAGCCAATTCCGTTTCCTTTCCCTTTCTCTTTTGCCGCTTAAGATCCTTTTTAGGAATAGTATTAGTCTTTAAAATTCAGGTTCCAGGTACCTTAAATAGATGTTCTCCATTCAACCCTGTCAGTCAAACTTTCTCCTTTAAACTTCCTCCTGCACAATCCTGTCCAGTCGGGTTCTTTGAGGTGGCCATTTCTGACCACCGCTGCAACCACCTTTGGGAAAGGGAGCAATGGCCAGCCGAGGAGAAGAGATGCAGCTCTCCTCAACCCCACTGATGGCTCCCCCTTCTTCACCACTTCTATGGAGTGGCTTCATCCCCAAATCTGGGCGGCTTGGAGCGCTCCAGCGGTGAGCACAGATCAAAACCACGCACGATCGTGGATTTCAGTCTGTCGCTGAAAAAGCCCGAACCGGAAGTCGAAATAAAATACTTTTGTTAGTTTAATATGCACAGGTATTCCTTGACTTATGATCACAATTGAGCCCAAAATTTATGTTGTTAAGTGAGACATTTGTTATGTGAGTTTTGCCCCATTTTACAACTTTTCTTGCTACAGTTACTAAGTGAATCACTGCAGTTGATAAATTAGTAACCTGATTGTTAAGTGAATCTGGCTTCCTCGTTGACTTTGCTTGTCAGAAGTTGCAAAAGGTGATCACATGATCCTGGGACTAGAAGAGGTCATAAATATGAACCAATTGCCAAGCATCTGAATTTTGATCACATGATCATGGATATGCTGCAATGGTTGTAATTTTGAACGGTCACTAAACAAACTGTTGCAAGTGAAGGACTACATGTGTATGTTGAAGGAGCAGATCATAAAAATGAAAGACGTTGCACTAACAGTAGATTTTTACTTATGGAATGTCTGTAGGATCTGAATATTATGGTTGTTCCAATATTTCTACATCCCCCTTTCCCAAAAACAGAACTAAATGTTGCTTTTGTTACATTGGTTCCTTTTCATCTCCCAATTTACTGCTCTAACCTGTGTAATAGCTTATTCCGTCCAGTTATTTCATGTGTGCCTTTTTGGTAGCTGTTCATTTATTATTTGGTAATTATTTTTAATGTATCTAGACTTTAAATTGTGCAAAGCATTAAAAATGCTTTATCTAGTGGGCTAGCATAAGGAAATATCCTACCCCCTCCCCAAATTGTAGAAGCAGATGTGGTCTTTAGATTCTTTAAATATTAAGTTGAGTAAGGCATTCGAATGTTGCTTCTCCTCCTTTGGGGTGGATCTGTTGGGAGAATCCTCTGGGAAGCTTGGTGCTAAGGGTCTGTAGGATGATTCCCTTTCTCTTCTGTTTGGATTGGAAGGTTTGCCTCTGCTCGAAGGGCAAAGTGGCTAGATGGTTCCCTTTTTAAAACTACCAGGAGGGGTGGAGAGGAAGCTGCCTGGCCAGTCTGTATTCTTAGGGCACTGACGGAGGGAATGAGAGTAAAGAAAACTTAAAGAAGGGGAAAAGGTGCACAGGGGGTTTCGGGCGGCTGGAGCAAGAGGACAGTGCCTGACAGTACAAGGGACGAGACCATGACCCGAAGGTCTGGGGCGGGAAGCAAAGCGAGGCATGGGGGAGGAGAGAAACGATTGCATCACCCTCTCTCCGCCACTTCCACCTACCTAATCTCAAAAGACTCACCGACTTGCAGGACCTTGTCGACGCAGCTGCCGTCAATCAAAGCAATGCCCCTGCGGGAGGGCAGGCGATTCTCGTCAGCAGCGGGGTCTTTCTCACCGCTGCCCCTGTTGTTGGAGATGGCACTGGTAAGAGAGGCACCAGCGCCGGCGGGAACCATGGAAGCTATGGCTTCCCCGCCTGAGAAGTAGCTGAAACGCTGCCGGTGGAGGAATGTGTAGCACTCCAAATGCGGCAGCACACGGGCAGAAGGGAAAGCAACAGCGGTGGAGGAAGCAACAGCGGCAGGCGTGATGCAAAGTGCCCCACCACCACCGAGGCCGACATCCACACTGCCGCCGCCCGCCCACTGACCCAGCCTGCACCCAGCACCATACCCGATCTGCAGCAAAGGCGCTTGGCGGGGGTAGGGAGCTCTCCATGCTCCGCCATGATCAGCCATTAGGAGCGGCTTGTGGTGAGGCGTGGCTGCCCTCGGGGTGCTCCTAACGGCAAGTTCCCCCCGCCCCCCTCCAATTTTGCATGTTTTAAACTAGGCCTAAATTTGGGGGGAGGGGCTTAATTTCACCATATGCCTAGAAAACATGCTGGGTCTTTCTATTTGGGGGGTGTATTGTTGGAGAAACACGGTATATATATATAGATGTATGGTATTCAGCTTTGTTTGGTATTTTCCCACGTCATTATAGTTGTGCTTTTACAGTTGTAAGTTGTAGTGACGTTTTGGTAGAATCTCATCTGCCATCATCAGGCTTGTGTATTGTGTTCGTCTGTGAGTCAGGCTTTCACAGCCATTTCTGTTTTAAATTTGGGGCTAGCCTACTGCTGTGTTAGAATGATTTTTTCTTCATCCTGATTGGTTGGGAGTCTTGGTCTGTGTTTAACCAATCAGGATGAAGAAAAAAACCATTCTAATACAGCAGTAGGCTAGCCCCAAATTTAAAACAGAAACGGCTGTGAAAGCCTGACTCACAGACAAACAAAATACACAAGCCTGATGATGGCAGATGAGATTCTGCCGAAACGTTGCTACAACTTTAAAAGCACAACTATAATGACGTGGGAAAATACCCAAACAAAGCTGAATACTATACATATAAATACCTGCAAAAACTTAAGAAAACACACACACACACATATCTTTATCTTTTAGCAGTTCTTGCTATATGTATGTGTGATTTAGGAAAAGTATACTTTGCAATTTCATGCAGACATGTTCAGTCCAGAATTGCAGACTTGTTCTGATTATAATTTGGAACTCTTTTCTGAAGGACAAAGGTCAGATCACAAATTCAGTCACAGATGAAAAATGGAAGACATAGGAGATACAGGAGATATAAATGTGTGAATTCAAGGCTGTCTAATATAATGCATAATTCAACTCATTTTCTATAGTTACTTGGTTCTGTTATTTATAAGTGTAACAAACATTAGTCCTTCACTGTAATTAATTTTCCATTCTCTGATTTTAATTTTTCCCTGATGTTATTAATTTGATAATAAATATAATGACAAAGGAAAGCGATGGAGTTTTTATCTGCAAAGCCTGCATATAGGAGTATATCTTGATTATTGTTTCAGCTAATGAAGAGGGAAAAACTCATATTTTGAATCTACATTTGTGAACGCACATTTACTACATATATCTGTTATATTCCAGTTTATCTGCCAGTTCTTTGACAATATCTTCTGGAAGCAGTCGAGGATCATTGGCATCCAGCCGTGGGTCATTGGCATCCAGCAGAGGCTCCCTGAGTTCAGTTAGTTTCACAGACATCTATGGTCTCCCTCAGTATGATAAATCTGATATTGCTGTTGAATATGGTCATCATATGCGATATGATCCAGTTTCAGTTGATTCTCATAACAAAGATGTACAGTATCATGAATCCGTCGGATCTCCAGCTAGCAGTAAACAACGAAGATCCTTAGATACTCCTCTGTCTTTGGCATCATTGTCATCAAGATCATCCCTTTCTTCACTATCACCTCCAAGTTCTCCCCTGGACACTCCCTTCCTACCAGCTTCTCGGGATTCTCCATTAGTTCATAAGTCAGAAGGGTATGAAGAAGTAACATACACAGGTGCTTCAGAAGTACTTCGAGCTCAGGGCTCTGTTTTAGGTGAAGACAAAGGACAAGAAATTGTGGCATTTAAGGCTACTGAATATTCCACAAGAAATGAAGCCGGGCTGCAAATTCTCAATATTTCGAATTCTGGTGGTAAGTTAATTTTTAACTATTTATATTTCAGATATCAACAAAACAATAAATATAGGTCGGATGTCACAACCTACATAGCAGCTTATCTAAAAAAAATACAGTTGTACATGTTTTGCTTTGGAGGAAAAAAGGCTGAATGAAATTGTGAACAGTTAGCATGTCTGTGTTTCAGTTAAGTAAACATTAAATTATTATAGTAAGTTTTAAGAGAAGGAAATAAAATGTTTTGCTGGCTTGTTACACATTTTAGCTTTTTAATTTGTGTTCATATTCTAAACTTCCTTCCTATCTATTTCTGAAACAAAATGAGGGAAACTACTTTAAGTCCTACTGAAGTTATAGGGCAAATTAATGGTAATTTGAAATGAATAAAACATTTCTGCTTTGAAACTCATTTGCAGTGTTCTGAACCTAAAAAAAGACATTTATTTGTTCATTCATTCAGGTTTTAACATACCACAATCACGCAAGTAGTTTCCACCACTCCCACACCACTTCTGCTATAAACTGACCAATAATTTCCATAATATGTATTTTAGTACATTTTTTACCATTTTTGCTACATTATAATATAGAATTTAATTTTTCAATGTTATTAGCTAGCATTTTTTTAAAAAAAATATTTGCTATTTGCCAATTGCTATGGGTCTGTGTAGGATCGTTTTTAAAAAATTAAATATATTACAGATTTTTCTGCTTTATACCCATGTGATTGAGTTGCTTAGGCATTTCCATTTTCCTTTTCTCATTTTGTTTTCATATTTAGTTTTCATATTTAAAGGTTAGGGAAATAAATGAACAACACTGTTGTTGCTTTTAAACGTAGTGCATAGGGTATAAATGGCTGCCATCTAGTGTTGGAGTACCATGAAATATGCTCATTTTCTGAAATAATTCATTTGATCTGTTTTTGATTTATAGAGACTTGAGTATTCAAACTTTCACTAATGCTGTTTGTATTTCTCTGCTGAGTGTAAAAGGAAAGAATAATTATTAGTACAAATTCATATTCTTTTTTTAACAATATTTTAAATGTGACAGAAATACAATTTTGGATGCAGAATTGAACGTAAGATGCCATAAATCTGCACTCTTAGGTTAACAAAAATGGTTCCATGAAAACAATTGGTTCTTCTTTTCCACAAAATAAAGATGTTACTGTACATTTGATTAAAGCAATAAAGTTTAAGTGTTTCATTTATTATTTGTAGAATATTTGTTTGCGATAAAGAATAAAGATATATAAAGAACATATATATAAAGAATAAAGATAAAAAATATTTCTCTTGTACTATAGAGTGTTAGCTCTCATTAATGAAGTTTGGAGAGTACTGTTGATCTAACCTTCAACATTCACTTTTCCCCTGAGTTGCAGAATTTCAGGGGATGCTTAATTGGGTGGTGGTGGTTAATGAAAATGTCAGATTGGCATACTGGTTCCACGTTTCACTTAAATTATTCCTTTATTTTGTTCCTCATGTGGCACAACAGAAAAAAATGCTGTAAGTGATTCTAGATTTACTCTTTTCTTTCTGCCTGTAAAGTTAATGTGTATTTGTAGGTTTTGTTCTGCATGTTTAAAAACCAAAATATTTTTTATGATTTCATTAAAAAAATCTTAGGAGTAACTATTGTTTCCTAGCCATATTGGATTAATAGTAATGTAAATAAACTAGAATAGCTGGTATTAATAATTGTTGTGCTTAAGGATCTTAAATATTTAGGTATACAATCTCTACCTAAGTTCTTCTACTAGCTAGTGTAAGCTGAACAAAAATATGGAATTCTAATATCTTGCATTTCTACTTCATCATTTGATATTAGCTACATGTTCTCTTATTTGATATTAACTATGTTCTCTTTTGAAACTTTTGCTGCCATTCCCTAACCATTCCCTATCAGATGGCTAGCATTTAGCCAATGCTAGTTGATCGCAAGAAGCTAAAATGATTTAGGCTTGGTTCTTTGAAGCAAAACTATCGGTTAAACCCCAAACTGTAAGCTAGATTGGAAACTGTGAAAGCAAACTGAAAACCAAACAAAGAATAATTTTACTCAGTTAATCAATGTTGTAACACAAAGTCAAGATCATTTCAAAGAAGACTTTATTACTTAATCTTTTAAAATGAAGTTTCTTTTAAGAGTCAATAAAATATTTAAAAGTGGGAAGACAGTTACTGCACAAAATGACAAACTCCTCAGTTGAAAATCTGTTTTGTCATTTGAGTAGGAAGCATGTTTTAACTTGCTGGCAACAGCAGTGTTACCAAATTGAAACAAGGTAGCAATATTATTATCTTTAACACTTCAATATAGATAAACATCAGAATATCACAATTATAGAATTTGATTCTAAGTGTTAAGAGCATCCTATTTTTAAAAACTGAAAATAAAAAACAAAGATTTTGTATGGCAAGCAAACAAACTAAAATTGTATTACAAACTTTCTTGCAGTAAGATAAACAAAATCTTACACTTAAAACACTGGAAATCTAAAATAATTATATATAATTTATAGCTATAATATAACATAATTATATATAATTTTTTAGAGAAATAAGCTCTGTATCACTATATTTCTGGTAACACTAGCTGGCTTTGCCAAGATGGGAAGCTGACAGAGTTTGACTAATAAAACTGTAGACTAGGAAGTCTAAATCCTGAAGAATAAAATGACAACATATTTTCTTTGTTTGCGTTGTGCAATATATCAAAAGTTTGCTTACTGTTTTGTTACTGATCTTAAAAATACTTTGCATTTTTATGGCATAATTATTTTCATGAGATTTTCAATAAAATCATTCAACTTGGAAATATTTAAAATTATAATTGACATTATTATCTCGTTAATGAAACAGGTAGAGGTAAAGATAGCTTTAAGAAAACACTTGATATAATTATAATTTGATTGAAACAAATGCATATGAAATTCATACTTTTGGTGTTTGATTTCATTAGTTGGCTTCTCTTAATGTGCTGCACGTATATAATTGGTATTAGTAGCTTGCTTAAAGGGTCCTTGTGTCATTTGTTCTTGGTCATTGGCTGAATGACTATTGTGCTGTTTTCTCTGATTTCCATTCATTGCCAACTTGAATATAAATCTAAGACAAAGATATGGGTTATTTTATATTTGTTTCTCTCGTTAGTGAAAGGAGAAGTCATAGGCCACTTAGCATTAATCAGTCTGTTAATCTGTTAACAATCATAAAGAGAATCATAAAGGATTGTGAGTAAGTGTTGGATAATTTGTATAATCTGAATGCAGCCAATTATCTTCTATATATTCATGCTAGTGGACTATACTCATGTTAAATTTATAATTGTTTATAAATACATTCTTTATGTTTTGCTTTAGCAACATGTATTATCTTTTTAATTTGGAGAGAATTGTATGGGTAGTCATGCAAGCATGTGCTCAAGACTCAGTTAAAAGTATTCAGATGCAAATTTAAGGTAGGCCGGTGTATGTTAAGATTTCAATATACATATGACACATTTAATATGTATTAGTAAACTGGATGGAAGAGAAAATAGGAAGAGGGAGTATTATGAATGCTACCTTTATTTATGCTTTACAAATTAAAAGGAGAGGATAAATCCAATAAATAAACAAACTTTCGGTGTAACTTATCTTTACTGTTTTCCATGTTGTAGCTGTGACCTTACGTGAAGATAGTACTAGAAGATTGGAAAGGAGATCCAGGCGAGTCTCAGCATGTCTGTCCAATTATTCACTGGCTAGTGACAGTGGCGTGTTTGAAGCTTTAAGCAAAAGGTCAGGTTGTACAAATATTTGTAAAATGGAATTATACTTAATTCCCTTAAAATTCCCCTCAAAAATACTTGATGAAGATCTTTTTATCTTCTACTAGATAAGATTAATGGCAAATAAAATCTGAGCAAAGTAGGTTTTTTAAATCTAGGTCTTAATTTTTTTTTAGTTTACTGAGCATTGTAACTACATAGAAGTATGAACTCTTCTCTTTTAATGGTAGTTAAGAGGCATTTGGAAATGTATCTTTAAAATATTTTTACGTTTTAAAAATGAATAGAAATGAAACAGGAAAAATAAATGAATTAAAAGAAGAAAAGAATAGCTGCCATTTTATGAGAGGGTAAGGAAACACTGTGTTGCATCCACTGAAATTTTAATAATGTTGGATCCTTGTACTTTTCTCTGGCTATGCTTTAGTGCTCTAGCACTAAAATTTTATAACAAAATTCAGTTATAATAGACCAGAACACTACATATTAGTACATAGAATATAAGCAACTTAGTTTTGAATAGAAAATTTTATCTTTGAAAAGGACCTTGGGGATGTTAAAGTAGCTTCAGCTTTGATACTTGTACCTGTTTTAAAACTGGGAATAGCACATGCCTCAATGTTTAAAATCACCTTTGATGCTTGTCTTGCCTATTTGGGCATCAACATACTATTTTTTTTTATTTTTTGCAAAACAATCAGATGTGGTAGTTGCCAGTAAATAAAGTTAGACATTAGGTTAATCACCTATGAACTTATTACATACCATAGAATTCAACAGTATCTTTAAGATTTGAGTTTGACGAATGTTTGTCTTATAATATGGAAAGCAGAGGAAGGAGAGTTTTTTTGTACGTATTAGCTAGTATTATTTATAATGACAGAGTACTACTGTAATGATAAGTTATTATTATTTTTTAATTCCTATATAGAAATGAAGATGTTGAAGAATCACTTTATAATGATGGTGTCACTAATGAAGAGCCCAAAATGCAGGTTGGATTTCTGTAAGTATTTTTCTATGCCTTGGTCATTACTAACTATATGCCAAAACAGACGACATTCAGGAACACTTGTGAGTCGTGAATGTACATCTTCTGGGCTACCTCATCATTACTGCTTTAATTTGTGAAAAATGAGTATGGGGCTAAAAGAAAATCCCCCCCTAATCCAGAACAGTACATCCAAAATGTATGGTTCATCGCACTGTCTTTAAATGGCCAAATTAATCAGTACCCCAAATTTGTGAGCATGAACTAGAATTCCTCATAAGTTCTGCTAGCTGTATCAGAGGCTTCTGCTAAAAGAAGAGGAATGTTAAATTAAATTGGTTACTAATTCTAAATTGTTGCTATTTTAAAGTTACATTATAATATAATGCTGTCATTATTGCAATATGATTTAATAGGAAATTTAATCTTTTATTTAATCGCCTGACATGTGGCAGAACATTTCGTGCCTGTATAGGCTTTACTAGCTGCCTGTGGACATACTGTGGATGGCCCACAACCTATTAGATGTCAAGGTCCTTTTTCTCACAGATGTTTCAGACAAACATCATGATTGCTAATAAATATATGATATATCAGTTATATACAAACAAAAATATGCCTTACTGTAAATCTATATGCCTTGTATGTTTGAGAATAGACTGGCAGTTAACAGTTACCTTGTTTTTCAGGCATGACAGTGGAAGTGAATGTCTCCTTGTCCATGTGTTGCAGCTGAAGAATTTTACTGGCTTTGCCATGAAAGAAGGCTGTAAAATGTACGTTGAGATTGTCATTATTCTAACACTGTCTTTTTAATCCTATGAAATGTCAAGATATGTGATTAATTATGCACATCAAGTGACAATTGCATTTCTTAGCAACAAAAATTCTGGTCCAAATAAGTCAAGTTCTACTTGTAGGCATTCAGAATTGCCAGGATTTGTATCATATTGACTATCTCAAATATTATTGCTTTAGTACATGCAAGAGAATTACAGCCCTTTGCAATGCAGCGCTGTAATGACCATTTAAAAAGATAAAAAGAAAATGTATTTACCAATTTTATATATTTTATTGATATTTCTATTATATAGGAGTTTTTTCTTTTTTTCCAGACACGTGAGAATATACTTACCATCTGTTGAATCAGGCACCACAACCACATATTGCTCTAAGGCTTTGGAATTCCAGGCTTCTTTAATATTTAATGAAGTCTTTCAGATTCCTGTACAATCAAATATCTTAAAACTCAAAACACTGCAACTTTACATTTGTTCACTTGGCCAGCACCAACAAGAAGAATTATTGGTAAGAGATTCCTTTCCATGAAATGTTCCAGAATAGTCAGAACAACCCATTTCAGGGTTGAAGCAAAGGTTTCAAACTTAAGATAGATTTTTTTTTAAAGCTGGAAACATTTTACACTGAAAATGTTTTACGTATCCCTACCAACTAGTGAAAAAATCAAAGATAATTTATTAGAATTAGATGTGAAATATCATCTGCAGAGAAATGTAGGCAATGAGGCTAATTACACAGAAGTGACAAGTATTCCTTAAATACTGCAACTAATGTTTTTCTAATTAAAATAAATAGTTTTGTAATAGAAATGTTTTCTATGATACATTGACACATTTTGCATTGATATGTTTGCAGGGCATTGCTCAGATCAGCCTAGCTAACTATGAGAGTGCTAGTGAGATGCAGCTTTGCTGGTATCCTGTTCAGACCTTCATTGGTTCAGATTGTGAACAAAAAAAAGAACAACCTAAGCGTGAAGAAAGTGCTTCTCATTCTGTTGAAAATAAAAATATAATGAAAATGGTATAGTCATCTATAATTTTTCTTGTGTTTCTATGTTTATGTGATACTTGATACTAAAGGAAGATATGTCTGAAATGCTAGATAAATGAGGCAATTGATAAAATGCTGCATTGGTAAAACTTCTTTATTATCAGTGGAACTGTTTAATTGGCATTGACCTGCTGGTCATGCTAAAAGAGTGAGTATGTTCTGTTTATGCATCCTTTTTTAACTGTCTGGTCGTGTTTAGGTTATTTTGAAGCGGATGATTCATTCTACATGCTATGTTTGATATCTGAATTTAAGGAAATATAGCCTATTTGTTCTGGAAACTGTGTAGAACAACGAAAAATACAGCAGAAAGGGATACTTTTTGGAATTCAATATGAAATGGCACCCTTTACATAAGAATTTCCTAAAGTAGAATATATTGTGTATTGGCTAATTTAAGACCCTTTTGGGACATATGAACTTGGTCATTGTTATTATGTTTTGAAAATATTAATTCCAGCTCACATATAAATAAAATGGGAATAATTCAATTTGAATTGTCCTTTCTTCTCTAGGATGCTGTGACTGTTCTTTTAGCTAGGACCACAGCTCAACTGGAAGCTGTGGAGAGAGAGCTTGCAGAGGAAAGAGTAAAACTGGAGTACACAGAAGAAGAAATACAACAGATGGAACAAAAAGAGGATCAGGGAGAAGCTGTGTCAGAGAGGTACTTTTTATTGTGAAGAATGCATACAATAAGAATCTGCAGAAGTTGGACAGCCATGTATATCCATCTCTAGCGTCGAAAAACTGATTCCATTTCTGATGTTTGGTATTTTGACATGAATCCTAAATCTGTCCAATTAATCCTAGCTTGATTTCCCCTCTTTATTGTAGGAAGTATCTTAAGTATCTTAAACACCCTTAAAATGTTTTAGCCTTCGAGCTAAACTTAAGGAGTACACAAATCCATATTCTTTTCTGAGCCAACATGAGTTCATGCACGTTTCAACAAAATTTTAAACATAGAATAAATAGCATTCTTTCAGCATTCTGAAAAATACATATGTAAGCAGTAATTACTACTGTGAACATAAAGAAGCCATCCTATTGATCGTGATTTCATACCTGAGGAGTCTAATAACAAAGATTGCATATTTGTTAGGATTATGATGCAGTAAAATACAATATAGAAATCAACCTGTCTGAACTGCTCTGCCAGGTATATTAAGGGTGTGGTTACAACATAAGACCTTTTCAATTATGACGACCATCACCTGAATATCTTCCTAGGAAGGGATTATATTGTCTGCCTCCAATTGATTGATTTAGTTTATTATCCAATATATACGTTTTATTTTCTCTTACATATAAATACAAAAATTTCTGATCCCTTGGTGGCTGATTTTAAATGGTTTGGTTGTTCTGTTTTTCTCTAAGTTACCTATTGCTCATTCAGATCACTAGTTACTGAATTTCATAAAATAAATCAAATAATCATTAAAACAATATAAAATATTTCCTCTACAGAAGCTGGCAAGCAGAATCAGTTGATAGTGGATGTAGTAATTGCATGCAATCCAGTCATCACTTGGACTCCTATTGTGGTGAATCATTGCAGATTCCCATGTTTGCATCTCAAACAGATCGGTGTATTTCTGGAAAAAATCTGGCTTCAACATTAAAGGCAAGTAAATATAACTGGTAAAGTTTTTCCTGAATCTCTATGGGACTTGGCTTGGATTTTTTATTTAAATCATGAATGCTTATTTTCTTCTTTTTTTAAAAAAAGCACTATGAATTTGATTTTTATTATAAGTATGGTATAGTAATGGACTAATTACTTTAAAATTTTCCCTAAAATACTTGTGCTTTCTTTGTGAATAAAAGTATTGAGATTTTGATTGTTACTATAGGTGGACAAGGAGACTAATACAGAAGATCTTTTTCCAGAAGAAATGGTTTTGTCTCATAAAAACAGACTAGGCCGTCGCTCCCGTGGTTCTGCATTTGTTCGTAATAATACTATTGTTCGCTCACAGACATTTTCACCTGGTGCACGAAGTCAATATATTTGCAGAGTGAGTAGAAAATGTCACAGCAAAAGTCATTTGGAATGCCAAATAATTCTTTCTAAAATGTGATCTATCAGCAGAATACATATTTTCAGGAACTTTTTCCCATTAATTAATAAAAGTCAAGCTATCTACAAAGGCTTTTTACTGTATATGTGTAATGGAATAGCTAGATAAGATTTGAACAAATCAGTGTAATTAGAGTTTGCTATCCTCTTCATGCTTGTGCATTCTAACTCATATCAGCTCTAATCAGAATGGTGAAAGACTTGTCAAAATCTGGATTGTTTTATATTAGATAGTGGATTTTTTTATACAAAGTACATTATTCTAAAGCACGAAACATAATTTAGTTAACAAGTATTATGGATTGTATTAATCCATAGGACAGGTTACATTACAGGTAAATTTTATCTATATTTTGCCCAAATGTCTATATTCTTCCTTCTGAGGATTTTCACTATCATTACAAGCATTGTAATGTATCATTACCTTGCTGATGAATTTTTTCATGGGAAAGTTATGGCAGAATCTGCTTCTGAAAATATCATTCCTTAAATTGTGCCACACTTATAGCACAGAAGTCATTTTCCTCAGCTGATCAGGGAAAGGGGTTCCTGCAGATAAGGGAAGATATAGATACGGGCAAAAATGCATCCATTTCCAATTCAATTACTCATTGATTTTTCATTTGGGTTTTTTTGGAAAAAAAATGATTTTTTTTTGTAGCTATCGGTAAATCAATAAAAGGAGATATAAGAATGATAAAACTGAAATTTTCATCAGATTCAAATTAATATGGATACCTATAATAAAATTACTGTCTTTAAACTTTAAATTGTATTAAGACTGACTTTAATCAGTGTTTCACATCTTTCTGTCAGCTATATCGTAGTGATAGTGACAGTTCCACTTTGCAAAGAAAGTCACCTTTTATACGGAATACTTTGGAAAGGCGTACGCTGCGTTATAAGCAGGTATTTAATAGTCTGATCTTATGATAAATGTTACAATTATGCTCATATAATTAATAATAAAGGCTTGCAATAAGGTCATTAGTTGTTGCTGTGTTTTATTTGTCTCATGTAACTCCTTTTATTATTGATAACTGCCTGACATTTTTATTATATATTTGACTAGACTTTTTATTACTTTATGTGAATTACCCATCATTGTTATAAGAAGGCCAGATGATAACCACATCTTTTTATTGATTTGATTATTTTAATATATGTTCAGTAGCTAGATAATGTCTTGATTAATATTGGTATCAAGAAGATTCAAAAAGGCTTTGTTAGTGGAATACAGAAGCTAGCTTGGACATCAGTCTGAGGAAGACAAGTCTTATATAAAACCACAATTGAAGAACAATAGTGCATGCTTTATCAATATTTCCTAACACTTTTTTAAATAGTGCATAAAATGGTTAAGAATAAATACTTATACCAAATTAGAAATCAAGCAGGAATAGGTAGACATAGTTAAAAATTCAGTTTTTATAAGGCACAAAACAATTAAAATAAGGATAAATAGAAACTGGAACTGACAATAGATACTACCTCAGATTAAAAAAATAAAATGGAAAATTCATGTGATACATTATATTGTATACTTTGAACCGTGGTTCTTTTTCCATTTTCCATATGTTCCTACTATAAGATAGATACCCTGTTTTTAAAACCGGACCTGTTACCTGCCAGTTTCTCCTAAAAGGCAAACATTAAAAATGCTTAATTTCTTAAAGTGTATCAATTTGCAGTAAATAAAAATAAAAATCTGTTTAATAACATGTATCAGTAACTTTAAAATTATATGGGTTAATTTATCAATTGTATATATTAGACATATTTTATGAACAAGTAATTCAATGACTTTATATTTGTAAAATATCATATTTTAATTTTTCTGACATTTTCATTTGTCCCGAGTAAAGAGCAGCTTTCTTCCACTGCTTCAACATTTCTTGAAATTTAATCCCAGCAATTTCATGATAAATTCCTGTTAGTTTTAATTGGGATTATATCAGTGCAAATATAAGTGCAAAATTAAAGTAAGAAGAAAAGGAAAACAATCTTAATGTAAGACATGGTGAAGAGGATATATGCCAGCCCCTAATTGAGTAAATGTGGTTTAAAGTTGTCCCATTTAACCTATAGTGGACCAATTTCTGCCTGAACATAACTGAACCAATTTTCTCCTACTATTTTTGCTCACCATTGTGCAACAGCTGTATACCTGTGAAATAGTTTAGAGCCTTATAATTCTTTCTAAGATGGATAGAGGCATTGCCATAATTTTTATATTATTATAGCATTCATGTAGAACATCTTTGGCTGATCTTATGGAAAGGACTTCCCTAGACCTGGAGCTGGATCTTCAGGCATCAAGAACAAGGCAGAGACACTTAAATGAGGAATTATCTATTCTAAGAGAATTGCGGCAGCGTCTGGAGGATGCCCAGCTTAGTGGTCAAACTGATCTGCCTCACTGGGTCATTCGTGATGAACGATTCCGAAATTTGCTGAAGGAAGCAGAAAGGCAGGTATGGAATCATCTGAACATTTAGTACAGCTTGTTTTTATTGTTCATACAGCAATGAGATATAAAAATCAGATTTGTAATGTTTAGTTTTTATAAATATTTAAGAAATTATTGAAGAGCAAATATAAATAGTTTAACAGCTTGAAGTAATGCTCTTGTATCAAGCACGGGAAAAACAGGTCTTAAATTGTTTAGAGTGGTCAATGCCTGAAATGCACTACCTGATTCTGTTGTTACATCATGTAACCCACACTCCTTTAACCTTAAACCATCTACTACTGACCTCACCCTATTCCTAAGAGGTCTGTAAGGAGTGTGCATAAGTGCACAATCGTGCCTACCATCCCTGTCCTATTGTCCCCATTTATTTGTACCTATTTCTTGTATTCTTACTCATGTTTATTCTTATATCTATTATCTTGTAAGCAATTGACAAATAAAATAAATAAAAATAAAAAAATAATGTTTTGCTTCTGGAAGAAGTTGATTTAAATATTCCCTAAAATATAAAATAGGGCATTCTCTTCTCTTTCTCAATCATTCATATCTGTTGCTAAGTCTACTGATATGGAACGCTCCAGAAATAGGATTTAAAAACAAACCACCCTTGGAGTATGTGGAAAACTACTTCTGCACTTACAAAAAAGTAGAAAATAAACCCAGTGTCAAACTACATGAGCACTTACATTGAAGTGGTCTGATAAAAATCTGTTTTTATCAGATTTTTAATGTTTAAAGGTTTTTAAAAATTTATGTGGAGCTATTTAGAAGTCTATTTGGATTCATAATTCTTTTCAAATAATATAAGATAGTGTTTATGTTTCAGAGGGTGGATTTACATCTAGTAATGTATACATTTCAGATTTATATCCTAAAATCCTAAATAGAGATTTGTATCAAAATGATTATAGGATAGCTGAATTTGTGTTGCGCTGTTTTGTGGGAGGAGGAATTTTTTACTAGCAGTTTCATTCATTTTCATATCTTAAATATAGATTTAACAATGAGTGTAATTTTAATTGTAACAGATCTGCTGGCCAAAAAAAAAAAAAGACTGAGACATTGAATTTTCCATATATAGTCTAATACCGATGTGGTATTTAGCTGGTTCGGACTGGTTTTGGCATCCAGTAGCGGAAATTTTGATCAGTTTGGAGAACTGGCTAATACCACCTCTGGCTGGCCCCACCACCTGCCCCCCTTTTCCTGTCTTATATTCGCTTGTTTTTTGGATCAGCTGATTCGCGTGGAAGAGCGGATTGCCATGCCTCAGCTGAGCTAAAACAAACCCAGCTCACCTCACTAGTGCTGACACAGAGGGCAGTTTTTGACTGTTGCGCTGCACAAAGCGCGCTCTCATAGGATCAGTAGGAAAATAGCATCAGTGGCTGGCCTCACCCGCCCCACTCTGCCCTATATATCTTGCCTTCGCCATACGGCCTGGCTAATCTCTGCTCTGCACCTCGCCTGTTCTGTTCACCAAAAGTAAGCATGCCTCCTGATCACCCTTCTCCTCGGGTCGGGGCCCAGGGATGCTCCATTCCCCAGCTCCAGCCTTGGTCCAGAGCCTCTGCCCGCTTGCTGTTCATCTCGGCTGGGTCGGGGAAAGCACCATTTCCCCACTCTGGCCTTGCCCCAGGCCTCCGCCCCCCCAGCCTCAAACTACAGCCCCTCGGCCTGTGGCTGCTGCGCTAGGCCAAAGAGCCATGGTGGGTGATGGCATGGGCACAGGGGGCAGAAGCAGCTTGGGAATGGACCAGACAGTTCTTCTTATCTGTAAGAAGTCCTGTCCAGAAAGTGCTGCAGCACAGATCTTGCATCTGCTTCTGTCCCTTGTCGAGCCTTGGTCACTCGTGGAAATACTTGTATGTGCTCTCGGGGTTGGCAGCTGCTTCTCTCCACTGCTGCCCTTGCTGAGAGAGCATCTTGTGCAGTTTAGCAGCTGTGAGCTGCTGCTTTCATCTAAGTCCCATCTGGAAAGCACTGCAGCTGAGAGAAACAGCATTCAACATGGCTTCTCTGCTTCTCTGTGCCACAGCGCTTTCTGGATGGGACTTGGAGGAAAGTGACAGCTCACAGTTGCTAAACTTCAAAAGATACTCTCCCAGCAGTGTGGAGAGAAGTAGCCGCTGCCTCGGAGAGCAGAGATGGAGGGGAGCAGGCCCCGAAAGGCTATTCGGTCGAGTCTTGCCACATAGCGGAAACCACACATGTGCAGAAACCGTGCATGTGCGCATGCACAGAAGCCCTCTGTGCACACATGCGTGGAAGTCGTGCGTGCATACACACCACACTTACATTTTTGGCGAACTGGTTATGGAATTATTTGAAACCCACCATTGATCTAATAGGAGTTTAGGCCCATAGGAACCAATTTGGAAAAGTTGATTTAGGACTGGCTCTGTTAGAGAAATTGCTGAATATCATTTTAAGCCAAGTTAGTGCTTGCTTGCTTGCTTGCTTGCTTGCTTGCTTGCTTGCTTGCTTATTTATTTATTTATTTATTTATTTATTTATTTATTTATTTATTATTGAATTTAAAAGTCCATCCAACTATATAAGACTCTGAGCGGTATGCCACATTAAAAATAGTAAGAGCAGTTAAAAAGAAGGATTAACCAAAAAACCTCCATTTCCCTCTCATCAATAAAATGCTATTGACACCTATCTTATCACTAGGCATAGGTAAAAATCCATGTTTTCAAGGATTTGTTAAACATCTTGACTGGGCAGAAACAGTCAAAGATAGGCAATACCTCAGATAACCAGTAGGTGATAGCTATCATTTTGAATAGCACCCCTTCTTCCAGCTATTACTTCCTTAAAGATATAGGCTTAGGACACCAAAAAAAAAATCACTCCATTTTTGAAATAGGAAAAAAATTACTAATTATTGAAAGGTATAACCCACTAAATATATATATATATATAATTAATTTATATAATTAATCTTGACTTTTTTCAAGCTGAGTCTAGAAAATAAAAAAGGGGCATTGTTATTTTTATAGTTTGTACACTGGGTTTTTATTTTTTGTAAGAGTCACTGAGAATGAGTGGACAATCAAATTCTCTAAATAAGTAAATAAATCTAGAAAATATTGGAGGCATTATTGGTAGGCAAAAGCTTAACTTGAGGTTTGACGTGAGGCTTGTTTTGGATGAGGTAGCATTTCCTGGAAAGTATAGTTTACAGTTTGGGAATTTTCCAGGAACCGCCATTTGTCATTGAATTTGCATATGGCATTTGTGCTTCAAATGGCATATGTGTAACTTAACAGCTAGTACACCAAGCATGATCCTTCCTCAATCAGTCCGATGGTTACATGCATCTTGTTTTGCAATATTCTTGTGGCCTGTCGGCTGCCAGCAGAGATAGCTGCCGAGTCAGATGAGAAGGAGGAGGTGGGAGAACCTGGGCCAGCTTCAGATCCTTTGGAAGGCTCTGATAAGGAAACAGCATCAGAGGCAGAGCCAGGGCCTTCCATCCTCCCCCAGGTGGAGAGGCAGCTGTCTTCGGGGCCTGAGTTGAATGAGGGGGAGGAACAGATGGGTCCCATCCCAGATGTGCCTATGCACAGAGAGGAAAAGAGAGTTGAGCAAAGGAAAGCAGTAAGGTGGCTCTCAGGGAGAGGCAGACACAGCCCTCCCTGGCTGGGAAATAAATAGGAGTGGTTTGGGAGTTGTCACAAACAACTGTTCATTTGTATTTGTATTTGCATTTGAAATAGTCCATTGGAATATTATAAGATATAACAAAATATTAAAATGTTTAATGATAGATCTCAATATTCAATAAAATATCAAAGAGAATGTGTAAAATGATAATGTTTAGTTTTAGTTTAATCTGTTATTGTCTTAAAGTTATTATAAATTTACTATTTCATTTTCTTATTTTAAAATAATGTATTAAGTAGAGTTAGAATTAGAATGGAAATTATATATTTAACTATACTATAAATTTATTATTCTTTTATTTTAAAATGCAACGTAGAAAGTACTAAGCAGAATCAGAATGGAAATTATGTATTATTTTAAGTGTTAATTTAGGGGAAAGATAGAAAGGCGTTATACTTTAAAAGTGATTACAGGGGAAATTTTCTGTTAAAGAGAAGTGATAAATAGATAATTGGAAAAGAACAGACAAAAGATACAAATATAATGATTTTAAAATAAGATGAAATAAATAAAATATAATTAAGAGAGTGAAAAGAAGGGAGAAGTTATATAGAAAATATAGAATGGTAAATAAGATAAGAATGGTATATAAGGTAAGCATGAATTTGATTTAGGTCTGTAAAAAAAGATGTAACCCAGGGCTAAGCCACTTTTCAAAAGAAGTTTTATGTTTTGTGTTTTGGTTAGCTTTGTTTGATTGAGAATTAATAAAACCTTGGTGGAATAAAACTAAAGGGAGAAACAATGAAAAATTTGGAAAAGACATGTACAAATGATAATTAAGGAGGTTTTATGTTTTTATGTCTTGTTTTATGTTCTGTATTTTGTGTGCTTATGTTTGATTGAGAATTAATAAAACCTTGATAGAAAGAAATATAATTGAA